TCACGTTCAGCCAGTTGCTAACCAGCACCCCCAGGTCCTTTTCTGCTGGGCAGCTTTCCAGCCACTCTTCCCCATACTTGTGTGTTGCATGGGATTGCTGCGACCCAAGTGGAAGATCCAGCATTTGGCCTTGTTGAACCTCATACCACTGGCTTCAGCCCATCAATCCAGCCTGTCTAGATCCCTCTGTAGAGCCTTCCTACCCTCAAACAGATCAACGCGCTTGCCCAGATTGGTGTCATTTGCAAAATTACTAAGGGTATACTCCATCCCTGGCTTGGTGAGCACATCTGCCAGCACCCTCAGTATCTTTCATGGATCCCATACAACCCCAGAAACTTATGTGTGTCTAAGTGGTGTAGTATGTCACTGACCATTTCTCCTTGGATTATGGGGGCTTCATTCCACTCCACACCCCTGTTGTCCAGCTCAGGGAGTTGGGCACTCAGAGAACAACTGGTCTTACTATTAAAGACTGAGGCAAAGAAGGCATTCAGTACCTCAGCCTTTTCCTCATCCTTCATCACTATGTTTCCCCCTGCATCCAATAAAGGATGGAGATTCTCTTTAGTCCTCCTTTTGTTGCTAATGTATTTATAGAAATATTTTTAATTGTCTTTTATGGCAGTGGCCAGGTTGAGTTCTAGCTAGGGTTTGGCTCTTCTACTTTTCTCCCTGTACAACCTCACAATATCCTTGTAGCTCTCCTGAACTGCCTGCCCCTTCTTCCAAAGGTCACAAACCCTCCTTTTTTATGTTGAGTTCCTACCAAAGCCCTCTGTTTAGCCAGGCTAGTCTTATTCCCTGCCAGCTCATATTATGGCACATGAGGCAGTGTGCTCCTGCATCTTTAAGATTTCCTTCATGAAGAATGTCCAGCCCTCCTGGACTCCTTTGCCTTTCCAAGGGACTCTGTCAACCAGTCTCCTAAACAGGCCAAAGTCTGCCCTCTGGAAGTCCAAGGTGGCAGTTCTGCTGACACTCCACACACACTCCTTATTTCTCCAAGAATCAAAAACTCTGGCATTTTATGATTGCTATGCCCAAGACGACCCCAAACCATCACATCTACAAGTCGTTCTCTGTTCACAGACAGGTCCAGCAGGGCACCTTCCCTAGCTGAGTCACTCACCAGCTACTTCAGGAAGTTATCTTCCTTTATCAGGTCTGGCTGAGCTAATTTTCCCTCCTGGTGCAGAGCTTTTGTGTTGGGAGTCAGAAGGGTGTCGATAACACCCACGTTATGACTGCCACTGAGCAGGGCTCACACAGCACCAAGGCTCTTCCTAACATTCCCCCCACAATGGGATGGGGGAGTAAGAGCCTGGGGGGAACATAACCAGGACAGCTGACCCGAGCTGACCAAAGGGATATTCCACACCATGTGACATCAGCTCAGCTATAAAGCTAGTACTAAGGTGGGGGGGTGAGGGGTGTTGTGGGGCAGGGCAGAGCTACTCCTTGGCCCTCCAGAGCAACCACTCTGCGTTTTGGAGCCCTGCTTCCCAGGAAAGGCCAGACAATGCCTGCTGGTGGGAAGCAGAGAATAAATCTTTGTGTTTTTTCTCTTCACTTCCCCGCACGGCATTGCTTGGCTTTTGCTTTCTAATTAAACTGCCCTTGTTTTTACCCACAAGGCTTTTGTCTCTATCTTATTTTTCTTTCCCCTTCTGCTCTGTGGAAGGGGAGCAAAGGGGGAGGATGATAGAGTGGCTTGATGAACATCACTTGCTCAGCCAGGGTTAACCCACCACACTTCCACACACTCCAAGAACCTCCTGGACATTTTTCTTTCTGTTCTATTGTGCTTCCAGTAGATATCTGTTAAGTTGAAAGTCCCCCACGAGAACAAAGGCTACCAATTGTGAGACTTCACCCAACTGCTTATAGAGTATTTTGTCTGCTTCTTGACCCTGGTTAGGCAATCTGTAACAGACTGCTACCATGATATCAGCCTTGCTGGCTTTCCCCCCAGTTCTTACCCATAAACACTCAATCCTATCATGACTGACATTAAGCTCTAGACAGTCAAAACTCTCCCTAACATACAGGGCTACCCCACTGCTTCTCTGTCCTGGCCTATCACAGAATCATAGAATGGTTTGGGCTGGAAAGGACCTTGAAGATCATCTAGTTCCAAATCCCCTGCCATGGGCAGGGACAGTAGACCAGGTTGCACAAGGCCACATCCAACCTGGTCCTGAACACCTCCAGTGATGGAGCACCCACCACTTCCCTGGGAAATGTTCCAGTGTCTCACTGCCCTCATAATGAAGAACTGCTTCCCTAAATCTAATCTAAATCTGCCCTTTTCCAGTCTGAACTCACTGTCCCTTCTGAAATTTATAGCCATCCAGCACAGCACTCCAGTTGTTTGATCAACCCACCATGTTTCTGTGATGGCAACTATATTACAGTTTTCCTGCTGCGCAATGCCTTCCACCTCCAGCTTCTCCTGTTCGTTGCCCATACTGCATGCATTGGTATTGATCCACTTTAATTAGACTATTGATCCTGCCACCTCTTTGGAGGGAGAAGCCCTTATTCCTGTGTGAGCATTCTCAGGCATTTCCATGGTTTCTAACAATAACTCTCGTGTCTTTGCTGCTGCTTTGGTCTCCATCCCCTGCCTCCACTGATACAGCAGACCAAAGGACCTTGCTAGCACACCATCCCTCAAACATTGGCATGCTTCCCCCAGCCTTATCTCTGGTGAGCCAGGTTTTATCCCTTTCCCCCTTCAAATCTAGTTTAAAGCTCTTTCAGTGAGCCCTGCTAACTCCTGTGCAAAGACCCTCTTCCCCCTTTAATACAGGTGTACTCTGTCTGTTGCCAGCAGGCCTGGTGCCGTGTAAAGCAATCCATGATCAAAACCCCCAAAATTCTACCAGTGACACTAGACTCAGAGCCAGGTACTCATCTTGTAGGTCCTCCTGTTTCTTCCCTCATCATTCACTGCAACTAGAAGGATAGAAGAGAACACTGCTCATGCTCCTGATCCCTTGACCAATCACCTCAAAGCCCTGAAGCCTCTCTTGATTGTTCTCCCACTTCTGCCTACCTGAAAAGTCAATAATGATTAATAATCCTGAGGGCTGTACCAGGGTAGGAAGCTTTTTCCTCACATCTTTAACCCAGGGCCCAGGGAGGCAGATGACTTCCCTAAGAATTGGGTCCAGTCTGTATATTGGACCTTCTGTTCCCTTCAGAAGCAGGTCTCCTATGACAATGACCCATCTTTTTTTCTTTATGGAAGCATTTTTGATGCAGGGCATGGACAGCAACAAGCCTGAGCCTCACAGTGACTATTTTGCAACTGGGATGTCAGTGGCAACACTGACAATTGCACTAAGCTAGGTCTGCTAACAAATGATACGGCAAATTTCAGCCATCAAAAAAGTGCCAGCATACCTCAAGCAGGCTTGCCCAGCTCATGCACCAATAGCTTCTCAGCTGCTTGGTTCCAAATCAACACCACACACGCACCCTGCTAAAACTTCCACAGACTGCAGCACGGAGACAGCTTCAGAAACACCCAGCCTAGAGTCAAATCTTTCCCTGCCCATGGGACTCTTTGAAATGCTGGGGTCTGAACCCTGAGCCCTGAATTAAGGTTGACATATGGGTGATTCCCACAGCCCTTCATACAGAGGTGGTGAGTTTGCCTTATAGCTTCCCCCCAGGGTGCGGCCGGCCCTGCAGGGAGAGCCATAAGGGAAATGAGCCCCAGGGGTCCCGCAGTGAGGGGACAAAGGTCAGGTGTCTGCTTGGGGATAAAAGCTGGGACCACTGGCAGGGAGTCAGGAGTGTCTGTCTGTGGAGGGCACTCCCCAGAGCTTCCTGGTTCAGGGCAGACCTCCTGACTCTCCCTGGAGCTGGGCCCCAGTCTGTTTAGACCTTTGCGAGCGCGGGCGGATCGGGTGAGAGTCACTATGTGGGCACCTTTCTCTTATGTGTTCAGCTTGCTGGTCTGGCTGTTTCCCATGCCAACTGTGGGCAACCTCGGGTCTCTGTTTGTACCACCTGTTGTGGGCCGAGCTACGTCCTTTGTGGGATCGTTGGGGGTGGCGTCGTTTATGTACCAGCTGATTGATCTGTTTGTACCCCCAGCGATCATTCATGGAATGTCCTTCTTGTCTACAGTCCAGTCTGTGTATTGGTTCATCTTCCTGCTGGCTGTATAATTTTTGTTGGGCCTGGTCATTGGCAGAACACTCTTCCTTACACTTACATCAGAGTGTGGCAGCTTTACACTCCCTGTAGCACACACAGGGAGTAGTCTTAGCAGGGTTAAGGCTGTTTTTTCCCAATGGACTCAATTTGCTTTTGCCTGTTAGTCCTGTTGGCTGTGGCACTAAGCGATACACTCACTTGATGAACACTTTGAAAAGCAAAAGCCATGGTTAACCTGGCAGATCAGCCAGACAGCACACAGCAGAGGACAGTGAATAACAGCTGAGAAAATGCCAAGTGCCATTGGGATTCACAGATCAGCAAGCACAGAGCTTTACAGTTTTCAGGCATTCTTATACCAAAAGGCATCAACCCAATGACTCTGTTACTATTAGAGGTTTTTAAACTTCATTCTTGAAGTTGGCCATGTGCCCTGGCTGTGATCAAAGCCAACACTTCTACAGTGTTGGGCTTCTGGTGTCCCTTCCAGCCAAGAATCCAGACTGTAAAATGTCAGAGAAGAGTCTCTAAATGCCTGCACCTCCTTCCCCCAGTAACTCACTTACAATTCAAGTCTCCATTTGCTCCAGCATCAGGCTTTGCCTTACTGCACCTAGTTGAATCCCTACACCCCTATCTGACATAAGTCTGAGGGGATCTCCACTCTGTTCTTGATAGCTGTCTTGTCTTTCATTTCAGGTGGATACCCAAAAAGGCCAGAAAGACTCTTGGTAGTCAAAAAGCCATTGCTGTCACCCCAGAAATGCCATTGGCTTGTTGCCTATGCCACTCGTGAGTGTTCAAAGAAGCAGATTAGTGTGATTCTCCTACCTTTCTGTATGAGCTAGTGAGCAGGAATAGGAATTGATGGGGTTAGGGTTACAAGCTACAGTCCCATAATCCGTGATCTGATTGCTGCCTTGGAGTCTCTGTAACAACAGCCACAAGTCACCATTCCAAAAAAAAAAAAAAAGAGGGAGGAAAGAAGGGAGTAAAATTAAAGGGGGGGGGGGGGGCAGAAATAAAAAAACAAGGACCAGGCAAAGAAAGAAATCAGTCAAATTACCCAACCATGGGAATGGCAGCTGTGCCTTGTAGAAAAGCTTCAGTGCCTGAGTCCACTAGAGCTCCCCACAAAGGCAGCGCACAAAGCCTAAGCCCAGCTGGCTCCTCTCTGACTGGGGCATCCATCTTAGCACAGAACACTAGATTCAGCCATACTTTCAGTTGGTCAAGCACCTAGGGTTGTTTGTTAAGATTGCGAATTACCCAGGTGAGCTTCAGCCACATGGAGGCCACATTTAGGGGTGTGGGGGGGCATTAATCCTGATTTCTTCAGAGCATGACTTCTTGGTAGAAAGGAGCTGCCTATGAAGTTTTTGACTTACTGAGACCTGTTACATCACACACATCCCTCTGGTTCTTACTGCAGTCAGTTCTGGAGGCTTTTAGGATTATAGAAATGATACCTGTACCACCTTTGCTCTCCAGGAGCAAGCTCTTACAATTGTATTTATGTTGAAAAGATTTTTACTAAAAATGGCTCAAGGAAAAGAGTACAAATAATCTGGTGAAAGTGGTGTCTGACAGAGGGTACTAAGCATCATGTTTGCTGCCAAAGGACCTTGATATTTCCTGAGCCTTCCACATACATGTTATGAATTAACTCACAGTGCCACCAACACCTCTTACTACAACCCTGCTGCCTCAGGGCTTGCAGAGCATGATTTTGCCTTACAACTAATCATCTTCTGCCTTTGACTTTAGCACTGTTAACCTGTTAACCTAGGGACACAAGCAGTTTGGTGTGTGTCAAAACAGCCTGGTCTTTACCTCAGTTCAGCTTAACTGTGTTCCAATTAGCCCCATTCATGCCAGGATTCTGGGAGAGCAGTTGTCTTCTAGCTTGGTTCCCTAGACCATGCTCACCACTGCTAAAATCAGCCCAAATTATAAGTCTCAGAGCAGGGGAAAAAAAAAAAAAAGCAGGAATTATTTTTTAAGTTATGACAGTGGTGAGAGGGTGGCAGCAAGAGGGGACACGACTCTCCTTTCCTCAAACTAGCTAAATCATACAGCCTTTTGCCCCCTATCTAGTCCAGAATTATATATACAAGAACTACTCAATGCATCATCAATTCCCTTTGTTTAGCCTACCCTCTGCATTTGTGCTCAGATAATTCAGTAAAAATAAATAAATGAATTTAAAAGCATCTGTTTTGTAATTGAAAAATCCATCTTCCTGAGCAGCTGGTCATAACAGAGCTGCTTCTTGGACCTTCTGGTCTCTCCCTAGATTAGATTCATTAGATTATCTGGAGGAAGGCAACACCGTCTTCTGAAAAGAGCTGACTTCAGCCAGAGAACTAAGCTTATGCACTTTGCTAGTCATGGTTCCCAACGGCTTCATGAATGTTGAGTGGATGTCTCTGGTAATGTCCTAGAAGAGAAGTCCACAGCAATAAGGAAAGGAGCCTCAAACAACCACCAGTCCCCTCCCTTTCTCTGCAAGGAGAGCTTCTAAGAGTATCAGCCGCAATTAGTCCACTGGAAGACATCTCCTACACACAAACAGCTGCATTTATTGCACAGCACGTCACAGGGACGTCATACCCCAAGCTCTGGTGTACACACATAAACCAGCTGCTTTGTATGCAGCACTGCGCAAAGTGTGGGGAGCCAGGCTGCTCAAGCCCTCATGGGGGCTTTGCCACCTACCTTGCTCCAGTCCCATACACTGAACTCCACTTGCCAGCTGAGGACAGAGGCTAAGAGGAATAAACTGCCTCCCTAGGCACCTGGAATAATAGTTAACCAGCTCTAAATGAGGGCAAAGCCCTGGGGGCTCAGTGCACTGTCACAGGAGAGAGACAAGCACAACACTGCCCTACATCTGTCCCTAGCCAATACAGAGACCCGAAGTTCTGCAGACTCCCAAGGGACCGGAGCCTACAGATTCTGCATGATGTCAACAGCAAGCAAAAAGAGGCCCCAGCAGCTGCCAGAGCTGGGATTGCAGCCATCTGCATCTGTCTGAAAACGTCCTAAAGGAGCTTCTCCACAGGCTGGGCAAAAAGGGAAAAAAAAAAAAAAAAAAAAAAGGAAAAGAGAGCTGCAATTGTAACTCAGAAAGGGCCAGCCCCATTCCTAGAAAGGAGAGAGGTCAGGTGTTGTCCTGAGCTAGCAGCAGGGGCACAGCAGGGTTTGAAGGGGGCTTTACTCACTGTCTGTTCGTTATCCAAATTGGCCTGCTGTCTTCGGAGATCAGCCTTAATGAATGCTGGGACAGAGGGAAGAAGAGAGATGTCAAGGCAGTTAAGTCACCATGAAGAGCCTAAAAATCAATTTCCCCAGAACTCAAAGGGGCAGCAAAGGACCCAGAGGAGACAGGACATGTTAGAGTAAGAGAAACCACTCTCCTGGATGAGGCAGAGAGAGCACTTCTGAACAGGCAAGACAGAGACTCCTTATTGCAGCATGTAGAAGATGCATCTTTGAGACCCCCACCAGTGCTAGGGCAAGAAGCCTTGGACCTTCTCTGTAACACAGACCAGATGCTTAAAGGAGCACTGCAGCATTTCCATGGGACTGCTGCGTGAATCCTGCCTTTTCCTGCAGGTACTACTACACACAAACGCCCTTGAATTCATGTGCCGAGTCCAAGGGGAAGAGTGACAGCAGAGGAACATGAAAAATTTAATTACCTGTCATAAAGGTCCCCAGGAACAGGAAGGAACAAAGGAGGAGGTTTCCTGCCTTCGTCCCAAAGCAATCCATGATTTGCCCTTGGCCGATGGTGAAGGCAATACCAAAAATCTACAAACAAAGGCAGTGTCAAACTGTACTGTTATTACAAAACATCCCAAACAGCTTCCCAGCCCTACTAAAGTATCAGAGCATACAGACTAACCAAGGCGTTTGCCTAGTGAGGCTAAATTTTGGTTATAAACACATCCAGAGGCACCTTGCAGCTGATGGGAAGACAGGTGACCCTTAAGGCTGGAATCCCATCTCCCACTGGACAAAAGCCAGGTCCTAGGGTGTTAGGAACAATGTTGGAAAAGGCAAGGATGATTTGAATCCTCATGGGTTTTCTTAAGCAGAAACAGAACGGGTGCCAATAAAGAAATGCCATGAGGAACACCATCCAAAAAGCCATGCCCTAGGGTGCTTGGATCTGCAGTACATTAACATGTACCATATCTAAAAAACAGGAGTCAAACCTGGGAACTACAGTTCAATCTCTGTCTATAAGGAGGCAAGCAATGGGAAAACAGCACCCACCTGTGATGAGACATTAAGGAGCCCAGATGATGTTCCTTCTGATTCTGGGTATGTCAACTCTGCAGCAAACTCAAAGCCCAGAGGAAGGTATCCTGCCATGAAAAACCTGTAAAGAAACAGAAAGAAAGACTCAGAAAATGCCAGAAGGAAGACTAAAGAGTCACAGTGTAGCCCATATCAGTTTTGGGATGCTTCACTGACTGCATAGGATGTTTCCCCTAGCACAGTCACAGCCCAAGCAGCTGTCTGACTCCCTCACCATGGCACAGGTATTCCTCCTACCCAGAAACACCTTTGCCCACAGCCTCAAGGCACAGAGCTAGACCATCAGGAAGCTGCCAGTTACTACAAGAACAAGGTGTTAAAAGCCACATCTCCCACAAGTAACTTTAAGGGGCATCATCCCCAAGTAGCACCAAGTAACTCTAAAGGGTGTCATCCTTAGCATGGTCAAACAGCCACCCAAACCACATACTTTTCATTCCTGCCCATTGGTCGTCTATGGGGCTTTGGTACCACTCACTTCCTAAATGCTCTGACGTTATTAACCTGGAACATCAAAGGAGCTGCAGCTGAGCAGGGCTGGTGTCCCTAACTGTAATGAAATACAAGAGAGTTGGGGAGAGCAGATCATCTTGTCCTTAAACCACAAGGGAGCCACACACAGGCTAGAGCTTTTCCCAGTCACTCCTCCACCATGAGCTCTGCCTCCCTGCTCATGCTCCCTAGCAGCTCACATGTAGAAGAAAGCAGCATGGCTCATGAACTTACCCCAGTATGCCTGCAGTCACAAACACCACCCAGAGGTGGCCTAGGCTCAGAGTGAAGGTGTAGACTATCATTCCCACCAGAGACATGATATAGACAATCAGTGTTGTCTGTCTGCAAGAAAAAGCAGAGATGGAATTTTATCCCAGTCCTCCTTTCCACCTATGGATCTTGGTATAGTTTCCATCGCTTGACTAAAACAAAATATGTTGCAAGACTCTGACACCCTTACCACAAACAGAAGAACTAGACTAGCAGAGAGCATGGAAAGGCCTGCACATGCAGCAGAAGCAAGAACAGGACCTAGGATTTTTCACTTCCCTACCTCATGATCAGGGGCTTTGCTCCCTATGGAGTCAGAGCGAGCCAAGGGAATTGAGCATTCCCAAACAAGAAAGCAAAAGGAAGAGGTGATAACACTGATGCAGTGTTATGGGCCTGTGTTTTTCAGTGCTAACCAGAACACCTTTTATTGCTTCTTCTTTCTGTGTTTAAACTGCCCCTACTGTACACAGAAAGGGGATGTGCAAGCCAAGTTGCCCTCACAGCCTCGCCCTCGAGCCACTGGAGTGTTTAGCAGGGCTAGTGCCAGTCCCACAGCCCACAGCAGCTGACCCACGAGCTCTTGTCACTGGGCAACGGGGACAAAGAGACCCTGTGCCCAGGAAGCATGCCAGGCAGATCCTGTAACAGCCAGACGTGCAGCCTGGCCACACTGAGGAACACAGTGCACTCGGTGCTGTGAGACACATGCAGCAGCCCAGGCCAGCTTTCCTAGAACCAAAACATCAGTAACTGCCATCCCTGACCAGACACCAAGGACACCCCACCCACATCCAAAAACCAACATTCTTTTTAGCACAGGAGGAAGCAAATAGCCCTTCACAGGGGAGGAGGAGGGAGGGGAGGAGGAGGGAGGGGAGGTAAATCCTCTGCCTGACAAATACCACCAAGATATTGAAAGCAGAGCAGTTAACAACTGACAAAACTTTTTGGCCACCGTCTTTTAAAAGAAGTTAAATGTATAAACACAAGACCCTTGTGTACTTTCTACCAAACTTTAGTTTCAACCTATTAAAGAATGTGTTTGTTATCAGTCCCTAGATTACTACCAAAGAAAATAAATCTCAAACTATTTTTTTTTCCTTTTTAATGCAAATGGCCACTGTCACAAATCCATCCCTAAGCAAGCAGGCAGTATTATATTCTTTAATAAAATGTTTCGGGTACACTGAGTTACTACAGATAAAACTAGAGCATTCCAGCTAACGTTGTGTCCTCCCTCACTACTACAAGGACTGAAGTTAGTGGGGCTCATACATCAATTCTTATCCAAATATAGTCTTGAGAAGCTAATTTCAGACTTAAGCTCTCAATCCAAGCTTACAAATGTTCACCAGACATTTAGCATATTTGACGTATGGAAATAGACTCTATAACTCAAAAGTTATAAAGTAGGTAAGTTTATTCCACTATGTCTTGTCTAATATCCTAAGCAGAGCAGTTTTTCTGCTGATCATGATAATAAAACGCTTAGTTCCCTTTTTCCCCCCACCATTTCTTGTCTAATAATAAAACCCACAAGCAGCATTCTTATGCAAGCCCTTGCTGAGAGGCAGAACTCCTTTTAGCAAACAGTCTACATTTTAAAATTCTTAATATGTATAACTAACCATTATTTTCTATCTTTCATTATTCTTACCCCATATCATGTTGAAAGGCTAAACAACATTTTAACTATGACAAGTAGTTTTGTTTTGTATCAAAGAGGTAGGCAAATTCCTTAACCTCCAATGCTGTATCATTTCTAGAATATGTTCTTTCCAGTGCTTTCATAGAGGAAAAAAAGTAATCTGTGAAGGAAGCACAAAGGGGCTGCATATTTCTGCTGTAACCCATTCTAGGCTGCAGAAGGAGAAGAGCTGAAAGACTGACAGGAATTAGTGAGTAGCCCCAGAAAGTGGAAGAGAAGCAGGTAACGCCTTTTCCTGCTCACTACAGGTTCCTCAGATACCTCCTGTGGCTTCTTATGGCTTCCGCCCCTTGACAAACAGACATGGAGGAGAAGTTCTGAGTAGGAAAAGGGATCAGGGCTAGAGTTACAGCTCCCTGGACTGCACAGACCAAGTTTGGATTGGATGTTCCTTCCACAAACAGAAGCCTCCAAACGATACTTCAGTCAGTACTGAAATACAGTACTGGCCTTCAAGAGGCAGCTATGGCACTAAGAAGCTTTAAGCTCTGCCAGCAAGGGCACTTGGCATATGAGGTTTTGGGGTTGTTTTTTTTTTTTTCCTCCCTGCAGCCAGTTTTGGTCTCAGTGCAGAGGTCTTGCAATAGTCTCACCCAGTACCCAAGGCTTATGGGTCAAGTATTCTAAGTAGTTTGTATCTGATTCACTCTGTCAGTTGCCAACAGTTGCACTTTGTGTCTCATCTCCATGCAAAAGTGATGAATGTGGTCAGGACGTTCTTTCATATTGATGCTATGTCATTAGTCAAGCTGCAAGAAAGAAGTTCCCAGAACATGCAGCACCCACTGAGAACTAGAGCAGGCAGGCTTATAGAAGTAGGCAGCTCTTGAAGATGTTCTCCACTGGAACTGCACAACTAAGCAGGGAACAAAAATAGAGAAAAATCTTTCATCTTGTCATGGGTACATCTACCACACATTAGCTGGCTCTAGGAGACTATGAGCATCAACAGACCCTTGTGACAGAACCAGACCCACATTTGAGTGCTGTGGAAATCACACACCAAAAGTGCCCTGAAGCCATGGGCTGAGCTGCTGGCTGCTCACTGCAGTCTCTAACTGGGATTTGAACGGACTGCCCTGAATACAACCCTCACTGCAGGAACGGCCTCAAGCACACAAGAAGACTTCCGCTAAACCAGGCTCTAACAAGACTGTGCGCCCTCGAGCATATCACTGATGATAAAGAAAAAGGAGATTTAGTGCCCAGCAGTCCAAGAAAACCCAAAAATTTCAGAAAGTGTTTAACTGAGACACATGTAGACAATGGTGCATAAGGAAACAAAGAAACCCCTGGGGAGGAGGCAGGGCATTTCTGAGAAAGTGGCCTTTGTCACCACAGTTCACTAGAGGAGGAGAAGAATGCTCTGTGGCCCTCGGGGCACCAGGGCATGGAAGAATGCCCAGTTTTGCCTGATAAGCCTCTTATTGTAGCCATAAATATCTTATGGGAGGAAAAAATACGAAGATAAGCAGATTCACAGAGGACATTTGCACAGCGCTCTGTAGTGTTTTTAACAACCTGTTGCCATGGTGGCCCTACAGGGACTGATAATTATCTTTGTCTGGAACAGGCACCCCAGGCTCCTTAGTGGGCTGACTGGTGCCGTGAGTGCAGGCCAGAAGTTACACATCCTGCTACGCCACCTTGGGACAACCGGGGTAAACCTCCCTCTGTGCTCCGGGGTGTGGGAAGGAAGCCCAGTGCACCCACGTGGAAGCAGCTCTACAGAGGCACCAGATGCCAAGTCTCTACAGAGACTTGGTGCTATGGAGGCACCAGCTGCAGCAGAGCTGGGGGAGATGTGTGAAGCAGCTGACGTGCCCGTCACTTAGGTGAACCTAAGCTGCCCTGATGTTCATTTTCCCTCCCAGCCACATTCTCTACCCTTCTGAAGAGGCAGATTAAGGGGCTCACACAAGGGACTGTGAGAAAATAGAGAGCCTGGGCAAAAAAGCCAGCCAGGGCCAGCACCTTCAGGGAACAGGACTGAAATGGAGAGCACAACTCCTGCTGTTCATATAGCTCCAGGGGAAGCTCTAGAGTAAGGAACGGGCACGGCCCAGCCCAGCAGTGTCACTTGGGCAAGGAATGCCAAAGGGACAGGATCAGTCTCACTGGGGATTAGAGCTGTGAAAACACTGAAGTCAAGCAATGTCTGAAGCAACAAATGATCAAGGGATGGGGAGAAGGCCATAGCCATGTGCCACAGCTTTAATTGCTCATTGGGATATTGTATGCAGCTCTAGAGTGCTATGCTGTATGGGCTCGGATGACAGATGGGCTCCAGAGGCTCTGTCATAAGGACGGCACATTCTAGGCTGCAAAAGACCTTGAACAAAGGCCTTGTGCCAATACTCCCAGAAGGATCTCACTGCTGAAGTCGTTGAGGTGTCATATGCTGGTAAAGGGAAGAACTGGAGAGGGCTGGTTTGGTTTTCACAACTCCCTCATACTTTGGCACTCAATTTCGTGCCACTTTCTTCCTGCATGAAGGTCACAAAAAAGGACGGCCTTGGTAAATTATTTATGTAAGACATGGCCATCTTACATAAATGGAAGACATTTATGTAGGACAAGGTGAAGGCATGTGCATTACACAAGGACTAACCTGGCCAAGGGGAACAACAAGAAGACCCAAACTGCAAGCCAGGCTAGGCTGAGAGCATTCACCTTTCAGTGAAAAAAAAAATGAGTACCCCATTCTCCAATATCCAAGTCTTTCCTCCCTCCACCAAATTTTAGCATACTTTGGGCTTGTGCAGACTTAAGTTTAAAACACCACTTGGGGTCCTCTGCCTAGTCATCACAGAGAGATCTTTGTTTCTGATTTCTTGCTTTACAGAGATGCAGCAATGACAGGAGAGAGCCAGCTGGACCCAAGGCCATGTTAACACTGTCCTTAAAAGCAAAGCATGACCAAAGAGAAGTGCCGATTAATCCAGTCTCCAAACATCTGATTGTGAGCCAGACTCCCCTACAAATACCAATATGTACACCCAGCTTTTTCCAGGTGTCACAACCCCACCTCTCCTCTGAGCCTGGAACCTGAAGGACATACATGGAAACCCATTTAATTTGATGTCAAAACACATTTTTTTCAAAGAGGTAGGCTGTTCTCAACAAGCCAGCCCACCAGAGGCCCCAGTTCTGCAACCACTCGTGTGTCACAACTTAACTTGCGTATTAGTATGGGCCAAATCTGTGCCTGCTAATTCCAAAAATAAGAACAGTTCAGGGGCTGCTGCAGGGACTTGCCTGCCAAATAAAAGCAAGAATGCAAGGCCATTTGGTGCCTGAGCATGACAGATGGGGGAAGCCTGACTTAGCAGAGCCTCACCCTTTTAAGGAACTGCTGATGGGACAGTAAAGATCAAACACGCATGTAGAGCTCTGCAGTTCCTTCTGTTATTAACCTCCCCCTGCTCCCCTCAATCACAGCTGGATCCCATTTATTTGCTTCCCTCCTCCAAAATTACTAAAAAAAGGACTTGACATCTTTCCTTCCTAATTTTCATGCGCTTACCGTTTTGTTCCTGACACTATCTAAGCAGCGGAGGGAAGGGGGAGAGTACCCACCTAGAACATCTGGCATCTTGACTTTTTTTTTTTTTTTAATAGACTTTTAAATGAGGCTAAATAAAGACTCTGTAGCACTCAAAAAATTTTGCTGGTTCCACAGAAATCCACTTGCAATGGAAAACAAATTCTTAGCGGTGTTTTTCCTCACCTAAGGCTAAATCTACTTCCAGATAGTCCCTGGGGTCTATAGGATAAATTCCATTGGTGGCACAGCCCTATTTTTCTGCACTCTCAGCCAGCTCTGCCCACCTGTGTGGTCCCTTCAACCAAGCAGGGGCCATGAAGTAAATCCAAGAATTTTTTTTCCCCCCTCTTGAATTCTGCCCAATGTCAAGTTTCAGCTCTGCCTCGTGATCCACAAAGCTCAGCCTTAGTGCTTGCAGCCTAGCTCCACTTAGGGAGAATCAGGACGACCATGCCCCCCAGCAGTGCCCGTTGAGGCTACCTTACCACTAGCCCCAGGCGGGAAAGACACAAGTTGCACTGCACAGTTAGCTAGTGCAGTTTGTACCAGGTGTGTTTCTATGTCCCAGAACTGCCAAATGAGAGCTACTTGGTGGCACACAAAGATCAAGAAACAGCAACAAGCGACCTGCCAATCTCTGTTTTAGTCATCTGCTCCTCTTTTTTAGCATGCCCAGGAGTCCTCAGCTACCATTCTTTCTTCTTAGAGAAGCCCATTTTCTTTCCACTTTTGATCCCTGTACTTGACAGCTAGGGCCGGAGGCTACTTCAGAAGCTGCAAGCCCACAGCTAGCCAGATTCATCTGACCTGCTCAGAATGTGCTTTTCTAGCTCAAGGAGGATAATGGCAGTGGGATTCCTCCAGGTGAAAAGCTGCTGCAAGGAAAGGAAGTCCAAAGTTGCCTTCAGCTCATCCCAGTAAAGCCACCTTTCACACAGCCTGCTCAGACAACAAGTTATAGCATGGTTCTCAAAGCCAGCATGGGAATTGAAAAGCTGATTACACTGACCCAAACACAGGGTAGGAGAGGCACTTTCCATCCCCTGGGACATACTACAGAGGTCTGTCAGTGAGATCTGAGTTCCTGAGGATTGGGAGCTGCAGGACACCTAAAGACTCTTAGCTGTCCCTTTGCAGAGGGCAGACCTACCTCCCCAATCTACCAAGGCAGCAAACCCAGAATGATCCACCCACAACCCTGATATCCCTTACGCCTGCCCTAAATACAGCAATGCACCCTCCACAACGCCTCTGCGTGCTGGATTCAATGTGCCTTTCAGTAAGCCAGACAAAGAGTCACAGAGGCTGGTTTGTAAGGGCTGAGAAATAGTCTGGTACAGTGTCAGTTCTGACTGTGCCAAGAACTCTCTCATCCCTGACAAAGCTGCTGATGAACCATCTCATCCTCTGCCCTGCGCCTGCCCTGGGACTGCTAGGACCAGACTCTGTATGGGCCCAGTGCAGACTAATGCAGCTCTAAACTTCACTTTAGACTAACTGGATTTTGAAGAACCATATTTTTTTCCTTCAAACTCTCCCAATGGTTCAATCCCAGGACTGACAACTTGCAACTGCACAGGCTTGCTCCTTGCACAATAGCGGGGACCAGCAGTCACTAGGGGCACAGAGGCAAATAAGGGACTTACTTGTATGTTTTGGTTCTGTCCAACCAGATGCCGGAGATCAGAGCCCCAACCATCCCTGACAGGATTATGGTGAGTCCAATCCTGCCAGCATTCACCTCCTCCCCCTGTGGTGAGACACACACACACAGTCATTGTTGTCATTTAGGGTGTAAAGGAGCTGTCTTTGCTAGAGCTCACCAGCTTTTACATGGGATAGTGGAAAGAACTAAAAGAACCAATGCTTTCCTGCCAGCCAACCAACTTGTGCCAAAGCCAGCCAGAAGTGCTGTGGCATTGCATTTTTCACAGACTCTCCTTTGGCAGCCAGTGCTGGACAACAGCAAGCATCAGAGGGCCATGAGGTTGGATGCACTTACTGGGTAGTGATTCAGAGTGGACAGGCCGTAGAAGCAACCTGTATTCAGACCTGAGGGGGGGATAAAAATGCAGCACATTCAGAGCCTGCTACTCTCCTGCTGGAGAGTGAAAGGGTAGAAATGCAGAGAGACAGAGAGATCTTTGGAAGCAGCGATCCGTAACAAGACTGCCGAGTCTCAGGAGAGCCAGCAGGACTGGCCAGACATAGGCCACTGAAATACATGCAGACCAAGGACAGAGATCTCAACGTACAGGAGGAAGCACCCTGCAGTTTCAGGATGGTTCTCACCTTAGCAGATAGAGGAAAGGCTGTGCACATTTCTGGTACTAAAAGGTCTTGCAAGTCCTTCATAGGGTCTCAACCTCTCCTCACAGCCAGATCAGTCTTTATTTAGCCTTGGAGCTTTCTCCTCCCCCCAGCCAAGGTAAAATACTAGAAAAGCACCTGTCTCAGCATCACACCTTTAACAAGGACTTAGGATTCAGTGCCATTGACCTGTGTATTTCCCTCCCAGAGAAGACTCTGATAGCATTTTCCCTGCTGGAAGCCAGAAAAATACATCCTCTCCAAGCCAAGAAACACCAGAAGGCAAGTAGGAGCAGAGCCAATGGTGAAGTACAGACAGCACTTCCCCTGGGCACCTGGGGTGTGTGTGTCTGCATAGGAAAAGTCTTGCATTTTAAAAGATACCACTGAAGCCTGAAAAAAAAAAAAAAAAAAAAAAAAAAAAAAAAAAAAAAAAACTGTGAAAGTAATAGTCTTTCTGAAAGGGAAGTTAGATTGACTGTTACAGGCATCAGCCACCTGGCGAAGGTTTCTCAGTATCACCCAAGGTGAGAATGGAAACTGTTGGGGTTATACTGGTCAAGCCCCATTCAGACACTCTGCTCCAACTTATGCGTGACTCTGGTCGAGTTAAACACCTTCCCAAAGGTCACAAAAACCAGAGTTTTGCTTACAGCAGACAGGAACATTCACATGAGCGCTGGACCAGCAGAAGCATAACGGCCACACTCTCACCTTGGGCGATACTGAGAAACCTTCCCCAGGTGGATGGAGTCTGTAACAGTCAACACAACTTTCTTCTCAGAGAGTCATTTACATTTGCAGTTGGTTTCTCTTCAAGGCTTCAGTGATCCCACTGGGGTGGAGGGATGGGGGCAGATTTCACTACTGTAGCTCACACACCTATAGGCTCCATAAGGAGGCATGGGTTTAAAAATCCTGGCACAGATGCCTGAAATCCTGGCAGAACAGATATATACAAAATTGCCACTTCTTTCTTGCCTCTTACAGCCTCAGCTAAAAGCAGAAACATCGCAATGCAGAATACAGAAGTGCAGTCTAGCAGGCAGAGCTTTGACAAAGGGAACAAAACCCTGAGGTCCCCTAACCCTGAAGTACTCAGCAATCCAGCACCTAGCCCACTCCTTCACTGGGACATTGGATACCCATTGTCCTACACAGCTCCTGAAGCACTCCAAGAAGCCACAATACTGGCAGCTGGAGAACATAATACACTTCCTTCACACTATCTCTGACATTAAGCAGGGCTCCCTCCATGGACAGGTGGCACAAAGAGCAGATAAGAATCTTATGCAAGTGATCCCAGATAAGCCAATTGCCTGTGACAAAGCTCCCTGCTCCAAAAGCTCGTGTCAGAAGGTTAGAGGAGAGGCTAGTAAGTTGAGTGACATGCTCTTTAGAAAGGAGGAATCCACCCAGTCCTTTCCAAGAGTTGCTCAGAAAAGGCTGAAAACTCCACCAGAGCCAGAGCAGACAGAGAAGGGACAGAACAATTGGAAACCCCACAGTAAGGAGGTGCCCTCCAGCCTTGAAAGCTGCTTCTTTGCAGCCTTGGGGTAGGGCAAAACAGACCACAAAAGTCTAATTTGGCTACATCCTATTCCACCTCTGGAGCACCCTGCTCACTAGGATACACCACAAACTACAGAGTCAAGACATGGGAGTGTGGCAGAACAGCAATGTTCTTCTGCCCACTACTGCTTCACTTCAAAGCTGGGCATAAACATAGATCAGTCATTCGTGTACCTCTACTCCTTGCCCAGCCAGGAGGACAGCAGTCATGTGGGCACAGCCAGACACTGCTCTGGGAGCTGATGCTGTCACTATGCCAGCTTCACAGCAGCTCTGTGTTGCCTGCAGTTCCCAAGGGAGAGGAGGGCCCCTGCTCCCAGGCTGGGCAGAAAGCTATGTAGAGTTGGCAGCAACACTTGGCACCAGTCAGGCAAAATATTCTAAGAATCAAGACAATATACTAAATTTGCATTTGTGATGGCTGCAGAAGTTGTAGGCGTTTCACAGGTCACAGTTGCACGGTGAATTTTCTCTGTGAATTACATCTATTTGAATGTCCATAGAACAGGCAAGGGCTGTTTCCAAATGGGGCAGTCCTCCTCATCTGCATGGACAAATGGGCAAAACCAGAACTAATATCTGGGAGCATAATATCTAAAGGGAAGTTACCATGATTTACTTACGATGTGCTGTAGAAGAACATTGTTGAGACCTCTCAGTGTCTCCTCTACTTTACAGAGGCCAGAAAGGGGAAGTTTATTGCCTATGGCTCCAAAAGGAGCCATTTCATTGATCTCCCTCTTCTTCACCCTCATCATGTTCCAGGACAACAGTTCCTTACGCAGATCTGACTGCCTTGCCTCCTCACTCTCCCATCATCTTTCCAAATTCTAATTCTTTGGGATATTCTCACCACTTCCACTTTACCAGGCTTTCCTACCCTTCTGCCTACTGTCTCCCAGTAGCGATATGCTCTCCAGTGCAGAGCCCAACACAAACTCAGAGTTTCTTAACACCCACCCCATGTTATGCCTCAGCTTCACGGAAGCAATGTCAGCAGCCTTTGGGAAAAGGTTGTGTGAGGGTTTTCCTGAAAAACCGTTCGCTAGCACTAGCATAGCTGCAGTGCAACCAACATTTTCAGCACTGCAAGTCTTACCACAGGAAAGGAATCAGCAGCTGCTGGTGACAGCAAGACCTTAGAGATCGGCAAACCCATTCTGGCGCAGCACCATGTAAGGGTCCCCATTCTTTCTACATCCTAGAAAGATGAGCAAGCATGTTCCCCCTTCTCTCTCCTGACACAGACTATCCTAATACAAAAGCTAAGAGAGGCTGCAGGTATCTTTGTGTTAGCTAGGAAGGATGACTCTGTTGCACTCATGTGGCTGAAGATGTTTTAAACCTTGGCCAACATAACTTTTGACTCGAGTAGGAAAAACTAGCCCCATTTTAAAGCCAGACTACTTTAAAATAAAAGTTTCACTGCATAGTTCCCTCTCTGAGTAACAATCACCATCTCAAATCAAGCTGGAGATTGACATGAGGCTGACAGAGAAGAACAGAATAAACGCACAGATCAGCAGG